TAAGGGCGGGCCCACCGGACGTTCTCAAATCCCGCTGGCTGCTCCCACCGCTGCAGGACAGGGGAGGGTAGCCACGGTGATGGATACCGGGGCAACGGAAATGGTGACCCCTGCGGCCACCGAGATAGGGCCCGATGAATACATGGCAGCGGCTTTGTTCGAACCCGGGACCATCGGAGTGATACGTCACGTCCAACAAATTACCGAGGAAATCGACCTCGGGCCGTCGCAACCAGGGTTCGAAGATCTTGCGGCGCCTAGCCCTGAATACAAGGATAGCCATATCGACGTATTGGATGCCTTGAAGGCTCTGGATCTTCGGATCCCCGTCCCTATCCCCTATCTGCTAACCATTTCCGAAGCGGCTAATGAAAAGTTGATCGAACGGTGACTTAAGAACAGGCGCCGATTCGAGGAAAGTCGAAAGGGCAAAAAGTCGGTCCTACGGGACCTACCCACTAATGAGGAGTCGCAGCCCTCGACCTCAAAGGTGCACGAAGCCGACCGGATAGGAATGATCCAGACCGTGGACTCTGCCTCGGAAAAACCCGAGGTATTCCTCCGAGCCTATCCTATAACCTGGAAAAGCGTTGAGTGTGACTGCGAGGTCTGGGGAAACCCCTCGGCCGCCATCCTAGACTCGGGATCGTCGGCGGTCGCCATTTCTTGGAGATTGATGAAACAGTTGGGAAGGGAAGGACAGGTTTAGCCCCTCCGACCGGATAAGCTGTATATATCCGCTACGGAAGACAGTATTCAATGTAAAGGGCGAATAACAAATGTGCCTATACGGGTGGGGCGGGTGCATTGTTTGTGTGGCGTGATCATGCTGGATGTACAGGCGTATGATGTTCTGCTAGGCATTCCGTGGCAGGCGGCGGTCGGAGCGCGAATGCACTTTGACAGTTGTAAGGTGGTGCTCACATCGGCCCACCCCAAACCCCAAACAATACCAATGAGACTGGCGGTGCGCATGCGTACCCAGCCGGCGCCTCGCCTCACCACGAAAGCCCATCAAATCAACATGATCCGACGCCTGTCACCCGACGAAAATGAACCCTCGACGAAAACTGACAAGACTGATGTACCCGACCGATATCCGATCCGAGTTCAGGATCGGTGGCGCCATTCTTGGCGGCGAGAACCACTGGAAATAGTTCGGAGCAAGTCCAATTGGTCGCACGCGTTCTCCTCTGTGGTGCAGGGGGAACCCCTGCTGAGGGTGTCCCGAATAGCTGACCTTTTGGAACCCCCTGCGTCCTTGTATCTCAGGATGGACCCCCTACCTGAAAGATTTACCGAGTTGAGGGGGCTGTACGATTTATCTTTTCGACCCCCACGGCCCCTACTCACGAATGAAAAAGCCGCGATACTCCTGAAAGAGGGGGTGTCGTTTCAACCCCGAACAAGGGAGTATCGGTGGGGACCGAGGGAACTGGCGCAGGCCTTTTCGGTCGAACCCTCGGCCGAACCCGAACTGGATAGTGACAATGACATGGAAAGCGAGCCGATGAGTCCGGCGGACAGTCAACTCATTGCGACTGTCCTTTCGGCGAAAACCGACAACTCCTTGTTTGGGGCCTCGCCCGATGCCAGCACAGCGGTCCCCACGGTTACGACGACGGTCTCCCTTCCTGGGGGAACCGTGGAAGTTCAGTTACCAACCCGTGTTCCGGATGAATACAGACGCCTCCTCATGGCGGTTATACGGGCCTATCCTGAGGCCGTCAGTAATCAGGACCACGACATAGGGCTAACCCCTTTGATACAACATGCGATTGATACCGGGGATCACGTCCCGATACATTGCCGACCGTACCGATATTCCCTTAAAGAAAGACAGCTGGCTTTGGAAAGGGTATGGGAATTCGAGCGGTTGGGGTGGGTCGAACCATCGCTGGGACCGTGGTCTTTTCCCGTTGTCCTCGTGCCAAAATGAAATGGTTCGGTCCGGGTATGTATCGACTACCAGAAATTGAACGCCATCACTACCAAAGATGTGTATCCCTTGCCGCGAATCGATGATTTGTTAGATGCTATCGGGGCCGCTCGAGTCTTTTCCAAGTTCGATATCCGACACGGTTTTCACCACGTCGCAGTCCGACCGGAGGACCGACCCAAAACCGCTTTTGTCCTATTTGAGGGCACGTGGCAATGGGTCTAGTGTCCCATGGGAATTTGTAACGCCCCTGCAATGTTTCAGCCGGCCATGAATATGGCCTTCGCTGAGTTCGTTAACAAAACCCGACCAAACCAGCCCCTGATCAATTTCTGCGTGATTGTGTACATGGATGATATTTTGGTCTTTTCAAAAACACACGAGTACCACGTGGAACACATTGAGTGGGTTTTGCATGCACTGAAAGATGCGGGGTTCAAAGTGGCCTTGGAAAAAAGCAAGTTCTTCTTGTCGGAGATCTCATTCTTGGGGTATATCGTCACGTTCGACGGACTAAAACCGGATCCGAGGAAGGTGGCAGCAGTTCA